AGAGAGAGCACTCTGCTCCAAAAGCGAAGCACGGGTGCGGCGAGACATGAGGTAGGAGTAATGGGTCGCGAGTCAGGGGCAGCGGAAGCCTGCTGCCTGTGTGCGTGTACTTTGCCGCTCGCTCATGACTGGGTGGTTTTATCGCCATCATGGTCGACGCCCCTGCTTCTAAAACGGGGGGCGGCGAGCAATTGGAGCTAATCTCTGTGGTGAAAAGCCTGCATCGCCAACCGGTCGCATAGATGAGAGCAGAGAAAGCGGCAACGCCAAACGAACCATGTACTTCGTATTGCAAGAACAGAAAGCATCAAGGCAACAACGAGTTTCCGAAGCCCATCAGGGCTTCATTCGGTTTCTGCTTCGGAATATGGTGTAGAACATAAACGGCTTTTCGAATATGACGCCACATGTTTCGTGTTGCTGCTTCCCAGTCGCCAAAAATCACCCCCCATGTTGGGCGTCTGTAAAATCTCTGATAAGTGTTACCACTCAAGACAATATCTCCCCTCTTCGTCGTGTGATGCCGTGGCAGACAAGCCTCCAGCGCAGCATATTCAGCGCAAATGAATGATACTCCCCCGGAAACAACGATAAATTTAGTGCGATCTAACAGCCCCCGACGTCCATGAAAAACAACACAAACGCGAGGCGGACGGCGCTTCGCCCCGTGCACTATTATAGTTGACACCACCTGCATTTTCGACTAAATATGTACACAGAACGAGCTCTCAAGGCCACGAACAGAACCGTCATGACGAATATGAACACCACTTCACCTGAAACAGACCAAATATGTACACGACAGGGCAACAGAAGGGCTGTTGTCCTGCGTTCACACACAAAAAAAGGATTTTCATCAGTGCGTCCCTCCTTCCCTTCATCGTCGCTCCGGCATAAAACAACGGACACCTATTTACACACGCGACTGATGATCGAATGACTCAGGAAGAAACCACTGACGGCACCCTACACGCACACCCCCCTTCACGGCGAGGGCGAAGAGCTCCACAGGATGTGGCCGTCTTCCGTGGCCATCACCGCGCTGCCGTCGCAGAGCTGAAGCGACGCCGCCTTGAGGGCCTTCCCGTGGGAGTCCCACGGGAGGTGGACCCTCCACCCTCCCGCCACCCTGGGGCTTCGGCCCAGGGTGCACATCCACCCCCGGCCCACCCTCCACCTGCCGTTCTTCACGGCCAGGTGGACGGGGACGCCCATGTCTTCGCCACCGTTCGTGGCCCTGTCCCACCATACCTCCAGAGCACACCCTAGCCTCCAGTTGGCAGTACCTCCGACCGACCCCGTAACACGGTGGGCCCACAGCGGTTTGTGGTCAGTGGGGTAGGCAGGGATGTCGCCCTGCCGCAAAATCAGGTCCCCGACCTCCGTCACCTCCAGGTTGGCGGAATTTACGACCGGTGCCGTCGAGAGGAACTGGCCAGGGATGAGCGGGTAGTCATCGACAGAAATGCTGTCGCCACGGAAGGCGGGCGTGGGGGCGAACGTGAACGGCCCGAGCTCCATGGAGAACTTGAACGAGTCACCCGGGTTGCCAGCCCGCGGCGTGTCCTGCAATAGTTGCGTGTCGCACGAGTGCATGTTGCAGAGTTGGATATGTGCATGGAACGGAATGCATGGTTGGTGTAGGTGCGTCGTGGAACGTAAGGCTACTATAGTTACCGTACGCTTCCGTGCCGTGGCAGGAGGAACTCTACCGTACCGTCGGCTACCGGCTAGAATACAGACACAGAAGCGAACGATGTCCTCAACAGTGAAGAGCGGCAACTGCAACGCCAACACCAACGGCGACAATGACAGCATTGACAAGCCGCCGCCGCCCCCAAACACGTACACTGTGATAATTAAATAACAACAACAACAACAACAACAACAACAACAACAAGTGCTTACCCCGGAAAATAAGGCCTCCTTCTGGGTGTCACGCGTTGTGACACCTTCTAGGACCGACATCCACATGTCCAAGGCTGCCGAGCTTCCCGCATCGAGCTCCCACTGTGAAGGAAGTTATCGTTAGCAAAAACAGCAGTGCGAGACAAGGGCGTGTGAGTTGTACACCCGGTTGATGGGAAAAGGACCATCAATGTCAGGACGAACAGCGGCCGTGACAGAGAGCAAACGGCTATAGATGTTTTTGGCAGCATGAGCTACTGTAGCTCTGGCGTGAATCATCTACGGCAAACACGGTTGACAGCGTTAACCTTGCCCACGGATGCCTCTTGTAGGGACACAAACGGTGGTATGTACTTTCCAAGGAAAATCGACACGCCTTGTCCGGAAACGGAACAGTACTTGGTCGCAACTGGTAATGTTCGTCGTTGGCATCAAACGACGAGGGCGAGCATCAAACGACAAGAGCATCTCACGCTAGCTGCCTCGAGAGCACGCGAGAGAGCGCAGCATCCTGCACCCACTTTGTCAGAAACACCGCGACCATTTACCGAATGCAAACAAGATTGGTGTCCGAGACTTAACGAGGTGTACCGCATGGAAAACTCCCTGTACTCACCGCTTTGTTCTTCAGGCCTCTAGGAGTTCCTGTCGAAACACGGAACACGAAGCGTCCGTCCTTCCTGGGCCTCCCGTGCTTACCCTCGACCCGCGCCACCTCGGTTGAACTATCCAAGGGCATGTCCTAAGAGTTGGCAGGTGGCACGTCAAACGAGAATAACACGCAGAGAGGGTTATGAAAAACGACAGGGAAAAATAGGACGAGAGAGGTGCGATACTTGACTGCTGCGCAAGCCATGGGAGTGACTTTTCGCACAGCATTCCACACTTATGTGTGTGCTCTTGACTGCCCAGACAGGCTTTCCGGACACATGGCCTGTGTTCCCATGGAGTTTGTTGAGAGGGAGGGAGGGACAGTTTGGTGAGCATCAAACTCAAATCGCGCTTTGATTCTACCTCACGTGTCTCTACTGCATGAACGCCTGATGCGAGCTCCATGAGGGCAATAAAAGGATTCGTTTGGTTTCAACCTCAATTGAGTTTGTTGGGTGCAACACATGGGGGGAAGCAAACCAAGGGCGGTGGTATGTAGCAAGGTACGTACCTGGCAAGACTTCTCCTGTCCTGCACGCGTCATCTTGCACAGCTTCAGGACGAACCCGTCCACGAGGGATAGCTGGCGCGGCCTCCACCATCGGACGAAGGTCTTGAGGTTCACAGTCCCCTGGCGAATCTGTACGACGAGGGTTTGGAGGAGGATCATTAACACGCTTTTCGGCGGGTCTGTGGAGGTGGGGAAACTTATCCGTCCTGAACAGAGCGGTGCAACGCCCCCGCAGCGCGCGTGTGTGTGGTGGGTGGGTGGGTGAGTGAGTGGATGTTGGAATCCTGACTTTGAGGCTACCTCATCTGTCACCGCCGCGTCTATGAAGCACAAATCTTCCATCGTGTCGACATGTTGGACATCCAGATTGCAAGTTGTCTCTACCGCACAGTTGAAAAATGCCTCAAGCTCAAGTTCACCAAGCCCGCTACTGACCCACTGGGCCGCAACACCATGCAACTAGCTGTAGAGAATGATTTGCCATATTCAGAGAGGTATCCAAGTTTCTACAGTTTGTTCCTCACCGCTTCGGTGTTGGATGTTTCGTCGCCGGCGGTGAAGTCTTCCGGGCCTGGGTCATCGTTGCCGTTGCCGTTGCCGTTGCCGTTGCCGTTGCCGTTGTTGTTGTCGTTGCCGTTGTTGAAGTTATTGTCGTTGTCGTTGTCGTTGTCGTTGCCGTCGTCGTCGTCGTCGTCCTTGCTGCTGTTGCCACTGCCGCCGCTGCTGCTGCTGCTGCTGTCGTCGTCATCGTCGCTGCTGCTGTTGTTGCTGATCGCTGTGCCGTCGTCGTCGTTTTTGTTGTTGTTGTCGTTGTTAACGTCATCCTTGCTGCTGCTGTCGTCGTCATCGTCGCTGCTGCTGCTGCTGTTGCTGATCGCTGTGTCGTCGGTGTTGTTGTTGTTGTTGTTGTTGTTGTTGCCGTCGTTGTTAACGTCATCCTTGCTGCTGATGTCGTCGTCATCGTCGCTGCTGCTACTGTCGTTGCTGATCGCTGTGCCGTCGTTGTAGTCGTCGTCGTCGTCGTCGTTGTTAACGTCATCCTTGCTGCTGCTGTCGACGTCGTCGTCGCTGCTGCTACTATCGTTGCTGATCGCTGTGCCGTCATTGTTGTTGTTGTTGTTGTTGTTGTTGTTGTTAACGTCATCCTTGCTGCTGCTGTCGACGTCGTCGTCGCTGCTGCTACTGCCGTTGCTGATCGCTGTGTCGTCGTCGTTGTTGTCGCTGCTGCTGCTGCTGCTGCTGCTGTCGTCGTCATCGCTGAGGTCGGCGGTGCCGGTGGCCATGCCGGCGACGTCACTGGGTGCATCGTTTAACGCTTCCTTTCCTTCTGCTAGCAAGGACGGGGGTACCCGAGTCGGGAATCGACGGGTCGTGCGGAGAGAATGTTGGCATATCAATCGACATCAACCAATTTCCTCGGAATATAGAGGTGCCACGAAAAAAAACGCAAACTCAGCGTCCCTGGGAACAACGGAACATTTCCGGGTGAGGCATGCGGTCGGTTGTTGGCTTTGCCCCCACGCTGAGACCTTGTACTGTTCAAACAACAATCTATATCACGCCATCACGACAAGAACAATATCGAGGCGAAACAAGGCGCATAAGGGGGCGATGAGCTAACGAAGAAAATCGGTTTTCCGAATCAGGCCATCTTGGTTCACGTGCTAATTTAACATGTCGGTATTGTTCGCTTTCCATTGTAACTTTTTTCCGACAACAATTGTCCTGGTGGTGCTTGAACATAAAAACCGGCACGTTGAGAAGAAAAAGATGGAGCGAATAACCTCACAACGTTGCGAGGAACAAATACAAAGAGCTTGCCCGTAGGCGGGAAACTTAGAACCCACGTCCCAATCGCTGGACTTCTCCAAACTTAGTAGGTTTCAGACAAGCAACGTCCAAAGCACACGTACATTAAAGGCAAGAAGGATTAAAGCACGTCCACGCCGAAACCTCAGTGCAGCGTGTCGGGGGGTGAGATCGAGAAAAACACGTGCGGTCAAGGAGCGAGCGTTTTTTTGCTGCAGGAAACATCGGCCGTGTTTTGTGTTGGCCTCGAGATCTACAACGCCCTTAGCAAAGACTGACGCATTTGTACACGAGGGTAGACGAGGGGCTTTACCCTAGGGCGGTGAATGTGCAGTTGCCAACCGACAACACATGCAGTTCAAGGAAGAAGAGGAAAGGGACAAGAACAGCACCATGTGATGTTATGCATACCTTCCCCGTGCTCTACGCACTATGCTGGCAGCTTTGTACAGACCGACCTTTGCCCACGCATACACACCCAACAGACAGTGAATCAACTACAGTACAACTCCGGCATCTCTCATCTTACCGGTAGTTGGGGAGGTTGTGGCGGTATCGGTGGTGGTAGGTGAGTTGCCCAAGGCGATGCCGTCGGCGTTCTCGTCGTCTCCCCTGGGGACTATCTTGTACGCGTCAAACGCGGCATGTCCTCCGCACGTTTGTGAAGCGTCGCCGGTGCACGGGGAATTGCACACGCCATTACCCCTGCCGCCGAGGAAACCGGCAGAGTCTGCTTCCGACAAGCAGGTGAACAGGTCGCCTCTGCTGACCGCGAAGACATCGTGCCCCCCACCGGCGCAGATACCAGCACACTCCTGAGAGAGATGGGGGAACGGGGAGCAGGGCCAGTCAGCGAAGACAACAGAGGCGTAATGTGTGAAAAAACAGCAGGGTCAAGTGTAAGTAAAACTCTTTGATCGCGCGGAAAAACGTCACGATATCAACCCACGACCAACAGCTTGCAATTCTAGAAACAGCTTGATTCCTCGCGAGCACTGCACGGCGTGTCTAGGTGGAACCCAGCATGCAGCGCAGTCGGGGATCGGTCGGTGAGTTGACGAGTCCACCAGCTTACCTGGGGGGTCATGTCGGCCTTGCTGTTCACCCGCACGAGTGTCGAAGCTCTGGGGTTGTCGGTGATCCGGTTGCGAAGGAACACCTCCATCCGGCTCAACGTGAAGCAGCCAACGTGCTCAGGGGCGGCAGTAATGGCCATGGGCGAGCCGGCCCCGTTATCCTTGTTCGGTTGTAGAGCGATGGGCTTCGACGACGAAGGAGCCAAAACACCGATTGGGTCGCCTTTCTCGTCGGTGGCGTCGTCGTTGTTCATGTCGGGCAGCTGGTGAACGGGAAGAGCGTCGTTGTTGCCGGTGGTGGAGGTTGAGGTTGAGGTCGAGGAGGAGGTGGTGGTGGTGGTGGTAAAGCTTAACGCTCAACGTTAAACGTTCCTCGGCATTTATCTGTTCTTCACAACATCATTTCTCTGCAATATGTAAACAAGTCGTCAAATTACCGACAATGACTTTCCCCGCCGCTTCTCCCATTTCGTGTACATTCCGCTTCGACAACTTCAAAAATACGCTGGTGGGGCGAAGTTACAAAAAACACATTTTATAGCCTCTAATGCTCTAACATCTCAAAAGACATGTCAGTACGGGGAGGTTACCCCACGTTTCTACCACAACAATAATCAGCAATCAAAAGCAAACTTTCCTTTGTGTGCACTCAGATAATTTCCTTGACCTCCACCTCCACCTTGACCTGCACCACCGGCAACAACGACGCTCTTCCCGTTCAGCCGTTGCCAGACACGGACAACGACGCCGCCACCGACGAAAAAAGACGACCTCAGTCGGTGTTCTGACTCCTTCCTCGAAGCCAGTCATTCTGGAAGAATTGGACATGACGGACAAGACTTCGTCCGTCGTGTCAAATTCTTCCAAAAAGACGGGCTCCGGGGTAGGAATGACAGGGTCGGCCGAGTCTTCCTTTTCATTCGTGGTGTGGTCGTTGTCAATGCCGGGCAGCCACGGAACGGGAAGAGCGTCGTTGATGCCGGTGGTGCAGGTCAAAGCGGAGGGGGAGGTCAAGGAGCCCCAGCAGTCGGTACCGGGAGGGGCTCTCACCTCGTCGATCGTGTTGGCCTTGCCCGGTGCATCTCGCTCAACAACAGTCCTCATGGCAGCGAGCATGGGGTCCGATGTGTTGCCAGTGTCACCAACGGAGGTAGCGGTAGTGGTGGTGCTGGCGGCGGACGTGGCGATGCTGTCGGTTGAGGCAGCGGTGGCAGCTCTTGCGTCTTCGTCGAAGCTTCTGTCGCCATCGTTGTCCCGGGGCAGGACGGAAGGCTCGATCTCGACGACCGGTGCAATGCTGCCCTGGAGCGCTTCAGAAGGGGCCTGCCCATACGTGCAGCGTGCGCAGCGTGACGTACGCAAGAAAAGAAATGTGAAGACCCCAATTTACGTTGTGGATGGCCGAAAGGAGCGTCGTTTCCCAGATTGGCAATGAATTGTGTTATCATCGCACTGCAGCAAAAGGCAACACATCCGAAGTACCCTTCTCGCATTCTAGCCGGATCTCGTGGACACGTTTAAATGCACACGCGAGTTCCGTAGAACAGAAGTACGTACACTTGAGCGCTCTCGGGGGATGAAGGAAAGGCACTGTCGGGTTGAAGTGTTGGGTTGGTGGGATGTTCTACTCAACGGCTGCTACCGGCAAACCTCTGCACTACGTGACAGAGTGTGGATGAGAGAAAATTGAGGACCACTACAATAATATAGGGTGCGTCTTCGATATAGGCAAGGACATATCTGCTGTCTGGTGTACATACAGCATCATCGCAAATCCTGGGACTGGAGATTTCTTCCCCAAGAATTCGGCATACTACAGCAGCAGCAGGAGTCTATGCATGCATCAATTCATGTACCATTTACTCTACTGGACAAAGTATGGACCGTCCCATGGACTGTGCCATGAGACGCGAAAGGATACATGTACAGAGGCTGAGGGCAAACTCCTCTTCCGTTCACAGCAGATTGTCGACTCTGCAAATCACAATACATTTGAGTTGCCATATTCAGGAGACCTTGGGAGCGTACAGCAGCCATGATACGTGTAGAGCATGACAATAGCCTTTCTGCCCAAAGTGAGGGGAGATGTGTGATGCCGCTGCCTCATTTGTGTTTTTCGAAATCGTTATCGCACAAGTACCGGGAAAGGAGGTACATATGATACTGCCAAACATTAGGTGCAGGAAATGTTGGGCGTGCAGACACCAAACTTGTTGTACTGCTACGCATGGTCGCCGCATGGAGGGCCGAATAGCTCAGCATCATCAGAGAAGGAAAGGAGGGAAGTACTGCTTGAAGTGCGGGGGGGGTGTTGCTCAGTACGCCAGAGCCGGACTGCTGGTGTACACATGCTCACTCAGCGGCCGAGTGCTGGTATTGTACTGCTGTTGTTCATGGTGCATGGGTTCACCCGTTCACCCCCAGGTTTTCGTATCTAAATAGCAAAAAAAACTTGCATCAACGGACATACATGCGTTGATGGTACATGGGTTGGTTCGGTGGCTCTTCTTCCTCTCAAGCGGGTTGACAAGGGCGCAGCGCGAGCTATCCTCCAGAGGGCTACATAGTTGGCTCAACAACAGTCACTACGCCGGGAGCGGCGCGAGCGGTTGGCGATGTCGAAGTCGAAGCAGAGTCGTCCGATCCGCATCGCCTCCGCCCGAAAAAAAGAGGAAAACAATTTGAAACAACAGCAAAGTAGACCAAACCGCCGATGAGCCCAGACGAAACTCCACTCTTGCTGCGAGAGGCTATCGGCTGCACCTGCCATCACGACTCCAGATCTGCAGATGTAATGCGATTGCGACATGGCGCGAACCCGACTAGTAGGGGACCAGGAGCTGATCTCACTCACTTCGATTGGGGTTGGGCCCTGCTCTATACACTGTAGCTCGGCGCCAGCAGAAGAGTGTGGAGTGTGGGAAGCGAGCGGGTTCATCCGAAAGTCACATCTCGGGACGCTTCAAATCTCCCATCGTGTCACAGCAATCTACGAAAATGCGGGGCAATTGTACCGTACGGCAGTCCTGCTGACGACGCCACCAGTACATCCTGTGGCTACAGCTGTGGTGGACTCTGTCGTACCTGCCTGCCAAACTACAGCAGTAGCACAGCAGCAATGCCGTTGCACTTGAACTACTGAAGTAAAGTCTACATATGCCCACAGCCAGTTGTCTACCACCACCCCGGTAACACAGCCGCAGGAGAAGACTCGGAGGAATTTTCTGGGTGAAGTTTATAGCAGTAGAGCGGACTGCATCTACCTGCAGAGAACCCGATCATGTTGGTGGGTATCAAGGTCTACGCTGCTGTGTGCCAGGCGGATGCACAGTACACAAGGCACCAGCAACAGCGGAGGTTTGACTGTCAAGGGCTTGAGAAGGAGTGTCCTCCAAAATCAATATCTCACCTTGCCGTGGAAGGCGGCCTTGTTGTCGTCGTCGTCGTTGTAGTTGGTGTTGTTGTTGTTGTTGTCGTCACTGCTGCGGGCAGAGCCCAACAGGAGGATGAGTCCCACAAGCAGAAAGAACAGCGTCTTCATGGTTCCCGCGAGATTCATGCTTAAGAAACGGAGACGCGAGAACGAACCGAGATTTCCGGGGAGTAATCATCACCACTACTGATAGTAGACCTGGTTGTATCTTCTTCACCGGCAGTTTGGGCGGTTGCACTACATAGTGTACTGCTGTACAAAAAATACACTGCTGTCGAATGCAGGTATCTCATCAACGGCAAACCGCACCACCTCAAGAAGAAGCAAACTCAGGAGAGTACGGTCAACGAACGTGAGAGGGAGCTCGGAGATGGATATCTTTAGGTAGAACAGCCGTCCTATGAAAGACCTCCGCCAATATATCTTCGCCCGCCGATCTATGCTACACATGTAGTTTAAACACAGGGGCGCCCCGGTACGGTCGTACGATTATGTTCGGGCGGAGATCGTCTTCAAATATTATTGAGATCGCGTTTGCTCTCGTGTGTGTTTGTGAGTGCCCCGGTCATCGCAAGAAATCATGCACGCAATGCACAGCAGTACAGTAGAACAATGATAATGTCATCGCGTGCAACATGGCGAATTGCACACCACGGGGCCTACACTTCTGGGCACACGGGCAAAAAGGCAAAGATCGAATACGTTTCACGATTTTCCAGACAACGGATTTCTGAGCGCTTGGCAGGGGACAGGTCCAACCCATCATAGGATCTCGTGCAGTCAAACACCGATTAGTAAAGAGCGGCCGGCAAACAACCGAGGGGACAAAGAGGTGCCCAGGGCAGGAAAAACGGAATGAAGTTGACGATGAAGCTGGTGGCACGCATAGGGGGTTGTGGCGGGAGAAACGTCACACACACTGTCGTTCGCAATGAGGGGTGGCGGGTTGGATCGGGTCTCCAAATTACATGAGACTCGATTTGGCCCGATACCTAGAGAGGTCTGTCTCTAAACTACATAAGATTCGATTTGGCCCGATGCCTACAAATGACTTGCTTTGTGCCCAACAGACAAACGGTAGATGCTCGTGGGCATCGCCGAAGAAGTGGTAGGGTCTTGACGTAAAATATCCAAGATCCCCTCGCGCAAAGTGGCTTGCATATACCGGCGCTTGTCTCCTCCCGCTACGATCCCATCTCTGCACAGATATCCATCTTCGTCATCTTGCTGTGCGCGCCTCGCCCGCCCACCTGACTGTCCGCATACTCCATAGATCTGCAAAAACCCTATTAACCCGCTACTTTCCACATGACCAAGAGCGGCGCCGGACCCAAGGCAAGCCATACCAAGAGCGATACGGGACTTCACTGTTGTCCTAAAACAGCAGTGCTGGTGCTGCCTGGTTGCTGTTCTCATGCCTCCCAGATCCTCCGGATCCTCCTGTCAGTCCTACGTGTATGTATGTCTAAATCCGATCCGCATCTTCTGTCTCTTTTGGAGGGGGGTGCTTTTTCTGCAGCAAGCATTCCACGGACATCATGCGCATGTGGGCGCCAAGCACCAAGGCTCTCTCGCGCAACACCTTTCTTTCTTTCTCTCACCTCCTGGAGCGTACGTGCGCGGGGGGTTGGTGCTGAGCTTTCCGATGCAGACTGTGTGCAGAGAGACCGGAGAGAGCAGCAGAATGTGAGAGTGGGAGAGTAGAAGCTCTTTTTTTCCTGACGTTACAACCCGGCGCCCGATGGTTATCACGCCGCAATAATTGTTTTCACAGACGAACTGACGCGAGTGTATGTATGTATGTATTTTTAACCTGATATTACACTAGTAGTGACACAGGAGCGCTGATAGTTGATCACGCCGCAACAATTGTTTTCACAGACGAACTGACACGAATCTACTATGTATATATGTATTTAACCTGCTATTAGTGACACAGGAGCGCTTGGAGGAACCACCGAACCCACCCCGTGGTAAAAGTATGGCGTGCATTACACAGGAATCGTGCGGCGTATTCTCAGACGGACCAGGGCCCTTCGGTCTAGATAGACAAAATACCGGAACAGTCTACAGCAGTGCCTCGTGTTTCCTCGGAACGCTGTATTGCAGTCTATCGTGGAATAGACATGTGTTGTTGTCTGAGTCACTCCAACAGCAGTGCGCGTGCCGAATACATGCAGGTATGCGTACGATTGCGCTTCGATGTCCCGAAGTAATCTGACGTTGGTTTTCTCGGGGGTTTTCTTAAATTTATTTATGTCGGACTGCAAATGCCCGAGAATGTTGTTGAGGGCGCCTGGATGACATGTTGTTCCATGATTACTTCTGTAAATCCTGGATGACATGTTGTTGCATGATTACTAAATTTCCCAGCAGATGAGCAATTCAGCAGGCACTTGACCCCATTTGATTCCGAACCTATCAGGGCTCAATCTTCGAACAGTATCTCCGCCATCGACAGAATGAAATCCCATAAGCCAACCCCCCCTCCGTTGGCTGTGGGGAAAATATGTATGGTGTCCCTCGATAACACGGCGTGATTGGTTGCCTTGCTTCTAATAATGACGGTGGGTGAGCAGAGACGTGTGACTCCCATCAGCCATCCGAATTTTGCGTCTACAGCGAATAAAAACCACAGGGAACGAAGACTTGCTTCAATTACGAGCGGACGGATTGATCTTCACACCGGGTACACGACAACCTGCAGTACCCGAAACGACTGCAACAACCTATAACTTGCAGGACTCTGCGGAACACCTTTGCGGGAGGGACCGTGCGAATGCTCGTCGTAGTTAGGCGCCCGCTTTGCACGCATCATCCCCCGTGAAACCACCAAGCAACCCGGGTACACCAACAACGCGCCATACCCAAATATATCGGATCTTACGCCATGCGCAACCACAGCCCTCCTCTTCTCCCCTCCCGCGAAAGTTAAAGACCATCAACAACCAACAAGTCGCGGAAGGTCGACATTTCATAGAAGCTGCGGCAACTCGATCCAAAAGCATTTAATACCTGACTTCCAACACACAAAAAATAGAAAACCGCAAACCGAAATCTGTTCCGAAAACAAAAAGAGTACAAATCTGTTTGAAACAACAGTCGACAGGAAAACTCCCTGCGGAATCTTATCTGGGGCAGTATAACAGCCGAGAACGGCCGCGCCTCAAAACCTGTATCTACCAATCTAGGACTAAACGCGCCAAAGCCCGCTCTAGAAAAGAAGCCGATGCCTTGAACGGGAGATAAGGGAGCGTTTTGGACCAGTGGCGCTCCATGTCGTCTACTTTCGGCGGTACCTTGCGCTCGGCCTGAGACTTCTACAGGCCTTCGCCGAAGCTCCGGATGAGCTCTCTGGCGGGATCATCGTTGCTAGCAGGCTGCTTCCACGACCTGAGGACGCACAACACACATTGCGTTAATAAATTAGCAAGAGGTGTGGTACACAACAACGTAGTAAAAACGGATTGGAAAACAGCGCCACAGCAGTGCTGATTTGTGCGCGCGCTGGGGTAATGACAAGACGAGGGGGCGCCGTCTGCGAAATGCCACGCACATGGCCGGGATGTATCAATGCGTTTGCTGCCACTACCATAACCTCTCTCCCTCTCTCGCTCCTGGTACTCTTAAGCTCGTTGAACAAACGCGAAGGATAACGTAAGCTTCAATGAACGAACGTAGGGTGTTCCACACAAGACAACAAGCGGCGGAAGGGGGGGCGCACCTCGATCTTGCGACGTTGACACGGCCGTCGTCCGCCATGACCCGAAGAGTCTCCTCAAGCGAGTTCGGGAGCAGCTCCTCAGAGTTCGTCCTCAGCCTTGTGCCGCGACACGACACCAAGACCAGCGACAACACGGGGGCACAGGCATTTCACATCAGACACACACCACCGTCAGCTAGCTTCCCACAGCCATCGTTACGAGCACAACACACCTCAACGTGACCAACAGCCACGCCAAAACGTGTCCGGTCAAGCATGATGCGCACCCACGACTTCCCTCACCAAAAAACACGTGTGAAATCGCCGCGTGTTGGGGTAGGAGCGGGAACTCGCCCCAAGTAATGCCGCGTTTGTTCCATGCACAGGCTGAAATGCCCGGGTTTCGTGGGCGCCTTTCGTGCTCAACGCAAACGCTTGCGCTCAAAACAAGTACACGTGAACACCACCGTACCGAAGAAAATTTCCCAGAGCCGCACCCTTCCCTCCACGCGATCAGCCACCTCTCACAAACCTCTCCTGCCCATGTCGCGTCAGGTCAAACAACCCCCCGCACTTACGGTCTGTTGAAAACTGCCTTCAAGCTTGTGTCTATCGGTAGCCAGAGCAGATGCGGGGTACTGATACTTGCAACCAGAAAGGGCAGACGTCTAGACATCGTTCGGCCTATCCGTATTTCTCTCTTCCCTCTTCTCGTCTCGTCTCGTCTCCTCTCCTCTCCTCGCCACTTCTCTTTGCTTCTCTTCTCGCACACACCTGTGCAGATGGATGTACGCGTCGGTCCCATATCCTTCCATGGGCCTCAGCTTCAGGCTGCCGCCGAAGTACCGCGCGTACAGCCGGCTGAGGGGCAGCCCCATGCCGTACCCCGCGAACGCGAACGTTTCCCCGGGCTCGGGCTCGGTCGCGCGAATCAGAGCCGCCTCCTCCTCCTTCAGCCTCATGCCTGCAGCAGCGCCGCCACCGGCAGACATTGTCGGACGCGAGCACCAGCAGCAGGGAGAAGGACAATACAGCAGCCAGGTTTTATCGAGGTGCGCTCAGAAAATAAGAGTCCCATGGACAAAAACCAATGTGTTGACGTAGGTGACAGAAGACATCGCACCCCTTGGCCCGATTTTCAAGGCTCGCTTACCCCCACGGCAGAAAGAGTGGGAGTGCCGACAATCGCGGCGTTGTTACCGTCTCGTCGAAAATTGAAAATGGTGTTGTTTGATTTATATACCCTCTTCCGTCGTGGAGTACCGTAAGAGTCGGAGAGATGGGACCCCCGTGTTAAGCGTTTTCGTTTAGCCTACTATTTCTCCACAACTAGAAGGGTGCGAACACCAACCGATACTTCTCAGGAAAGCCCTCGACAAGATGATTCCAAAGCTACCCTTTTCGGCACTGGTACCCCCCTGGTTGTGGTGAAATACGCTACAAAAAAACGTTAACACGGGGGTGCCATCTCTCCGACTCTTACGGTAGTCGAGCTCTGAACATCGCTCCATGGGGTGTGATATCTTCCGTCACATACTGTAGTCGCCTTTGTATCCCACACGGGGAAGGTAGACCGGCCCTCAGGCAAAAACAAGAGGTTCTCAAGTGGCGGCCCCTTCTGCACAGCAACACAATTGCCAGGGGGAAAAGAGGACAGCAGGACAAGCCACCGGCTCACACACCCGACATGTGATCGAGCGGCACCCCCGTGAGCTGCGACGCCGTCGGCTTGGGGGCCGTGGAGTACATGTAGGACCACACGCGCTGGAGGTCCGACCGCCGGATGCCGCCCCCCTCGTCGACGATCTTGATGGTCATGTCCTCGTTCCCTCGAGCCACGATGATCTGCAGACCAACAAGAGACCCAGACCCCCAGAGCCGAAAAAACAATGGCCACGCAAGGGGAATTTTGCAACATGTCATGATCGAGATGGTAGTGGTAAATAGTATCCTAAGGCCACTTGTTAAGCTGTCTTTTTTTTGGGCAGTCTTTTTCTCAAAAAGGGACGAACCAATAAAGAATCTAGCAAAAAGATGACCCCCTTGTTACGGTGCTGGTCGATCCTTTTTGCTCATCCGCCAAAAAAAATGACCCTGCAACAAGTGCAACGGCCGTTCGTCACACAATAAGTACCTTGGCACCGAGTTGGTTTTTCGGTGATATCTCCGCATAGAGCGAAGCATCAGCAACTGTAAAGCTATCCCCCGCGAGCTGGGTGCTTGGTCCGCCTTGTGCGTCGGCTGATCGAGACCACAGGGCAGTGGGAGGCACGGCAACTGAGGTGGTGAGAGTCAACAGCACCTTGAAAACCCCCACCGCGCCAACAACCAGCTTTTTTTGCTCTTTTTTGCCCATGCCGCAACTTTGGTTCATGGATGCTCCCTCGCCACACACTGAAATAACAGCGATAACAAAGGTATCCGCCACGAGCTATGTGTATGGTCCGTCTTGTGTGGTGGTTGATACAGACCAGGAGGCTGACGGGCGGTCAGAGGTTGTGAGCGCGAGAGTGGTGGACAAGCGGGAAAAATGACCCGCTGCGTCTCCAAGCATATTTTTTGTTCTTTTTCCCGTGTTGCAACTTTGGTTCATCGATGCTCCCTCGTCACACACCGAAGCAACAGCGATGACAAAGGTATCCGCCATGAGCTGTGCGTCTGATTCGTCTTGTGTGGTGATTGATACAGACCAGGACGCTATAGGTCGCCCAGAAGTTGGGTTCGCAAAAGTTGACTGTGCACCAAAAAGACCCACCGCTGGTGCGTCCAGGCTCTTTCGGCTCGTTTGCCGCTTCTTTGCCGCACACATCGGGTTGTCCACCTGGTCAGCCGAATGACAACATTACGTCTATCGCCGAGGCTACTGACTCCGTACCAGTCACATGACACGACTCGTGCGAATGCCGTTAGAGTTTGCGGGGATCATCCGTCGAGATATTCAAGTTTGTGGGCAAGTGTCATGTGTTGTGACAGAAAAAGGGCAACAAAAAAAGACAGTCCCATCCTGTCACAAAGTTGCCCGAAAAGAGACAGGATGGCGCTGTCTTTTTCTTCTGTCCCTTTTTCGAAGGTCCAAAAATGCAAAAAAAGACAGCGTAACAAGTGGTTCTTGGTCAGTTGTCCCTTTTTGAGAAAAGGGACAGCCCAAAAAAGGACAGCTTAACAAGTGGCCTAATAATCCTACCATAACCGTTACAAAAACTAAACAACCGATTGCGTTACCGAGGTTTACAAAATGTTCGCAAAGAAAATCACTTCCTCGTTTCTCGATCGAGGTCGGTGTGGATAGAGAGAACACAGTTGCACCTCACACACGCCAACGCATCGTGACATGATGCGAAACACCACAGCGCAAGCACGACGAATCGACGCCAGCATGTCATCACACATCAGCGGCATCGTTTGTTTGTTTTTTTCGTTTCGAAATTGTTGCTCTTCCCGGCAGGCTGGAAGACCCTAGGCCGTCGACTGGGTTCTCGCCGGTCCCGTCGCGGCTACGCAGAAAAAAAAATCAACATCAGGGTAGCCTCTAACGGTCCACAGTCACAAAAAAAAAAAAAAACATCTTCGCCGTATCCGTCTGGCTGGCTTGGCGGCCAACATTGAGACAGGGGAAACGCAACCTGCGAAGAATGAGACTCGTAAACCTTCACAATAAAAAACCTAACATCAAGTGGGCACTCTTGCACCTTTACGAAAATCACCTAATCATCACAAAGACCTTGGTGTTTGATCACTAAAGCTCGCCATGAGCCCTTCTAGGGGCCCCATGGAGCATTCCATAGCTGCCCACAGGCCTACGACCCGACTGACCTTGACAGGCGGCAACTTTTCGCCGGGTCTGGTCCGGCGGCTGTGCTCCACCGTCGCCCGGCAGCTGTTCTTCAGCACCTCCCGGAGGATGTAGTACAGGTGGCTCGGGACGGCCGTGAACGTATCTTTCGCGCGGCCGAACACCTGGGGTTAGGGATTAGGGTTAAGGGTTAGGGATAGGGTTAGTGTCGATGAAACCGTCGAACCAACCAATCAGACAAACAGAGAGAGACAGAGAGAGGATGCACGTTCCGTACAAAAAATTTGGCATACTTCACAATACAACCGGCAGACAACGCAGTGAATGGTTGGTTCTGCGGGCGGGCGGGCGGGCTGGCGGGCTGGGCGACGGTGCTAGCTTTGGTTATGGGTTTCCAACGCTGCTGCAAAAATAGGTCCCCGTGGATTCGAGCGAGGGAGGGGGGGGGGGATGGAGCGGCGGCGAGTTTTCTGTGCCGTGCCGCCAGGGAACAGTACGTGTCGGGCACCATATGTCCGACGGCGGTAGTAGCGAACCAGGCCGCCAACCCTTTGTGCCTCAAAAACGTCATCTGTGACGGGTCTATTTTTACTGCTTGTAGTGGCCAGAGGGGGGGGGAGAGCGGGGCAGCTAAAAAGGTAACGAGGAGGGGGCGAGAGATCACGGCGACAGTTGCGCCAGGAAGGTTGACTTGCTCTTCATTTCACCCATGCACTATAATAGAAAACGCCACTATAATAGTAGTGTGGGTTTTTTCTGCGAAACGGTTCAAGCCGAAGAGACGTCTTGAATGGTAAATAATGAATGCCTTGCGATTCAGGGCAACAACAAAACACGGCAAAAATACAAGAAACGGCGGAAAGAAAAAATACATACGAAGGTTAACGAAAATCTACGGCCCCATTTTCACACCCTTGCACCTCGATTGCCGGCGAAGCTCCCATGTGGAGACGGCAGAGGCGGTCGACGTCAGCGGCGGCCCTCCAAGCGACCTGCAGCCATGGCGGGAGGAAAAAAGCACAAAAAAAAACAAAAAACTCTGGGCTCACTTGCGTGAAGGGCATGGTTGGACAACAACGCCCATGGTCACAACAGTTACACGCGCTTGAAAGCCTGATTGCTTCCTGTACGCAACAATAACAGCAACAACAACAACAACAACAACAACAACAACAACAACAACAACAACAACAACAACATGCTGGTGGTTCAATCTCGGCGCCAAAAGCCTGCTCGAAACATTTAACACACCACAGCCAGACTAAAGTTTGTCTCTACCGTGCTGCTACTCGCCATCACGGGCGAGCACTCTGACTCGATCACGCCAGAGAACCCCGGCTTGTTCTTCTTGCTGCTGATGTACGTGTCCACGAGGAACCGGAGGCTTATCCTCGAGATGAAGAAATTGTCCAGGATACGATCGATGCGATGCCGTTGGATCAGCCCCACCTCTCCTCTGATTAAATTTGTTCACGAAATTGTGGGGCGTTGTCATCAGTCCATGGTTGTGGGCGGTGCAGACACAGGGTACACAATTCCATCCCTCGCATTCGTCTTCAGGTCACTGGCGACGTAGCAGCTACGCAACAACTTTGTCTCTCTTTTATCCCTAAATGAGTCATTTTCGGCGTGCGGGGCGTGACGGGCGGGTGGATCTAACGAGGCATGTGTGACAAGAATAAGCAGATGTGGCAACCATCGACGCCAGCACGGCCAAGCTCACTCGTGACCACCATCAGACAGGCAGCGCAGCCTGTGCAACAAAACACGCGCCGCACACACACCACAATTATTTGACCTGAAAAAAATAAAACACTTCACCACATCACCGTCCAGCTGCCAATACTCGACTACCCTTTCCCCTCGACGCGTTGGCCCCAACTCCACATCCGAGTGAATAGGGGCACGGGGGGGGGGGGGGGGGGGGGGGGG